TGAATATTTTATTAATGGAGACTATGGTTATCTTCTTCCCACTGATGAAATTATGGTCAATTAAGCCAATTACTGACCAAGGGACTCTGATAATGATAAAATTATAATGTTGGCTGATTACCTTCTATTTGTACTTTAATAGCTATACCCCGGATCTCTGGAATTTATGTTTTGCTTGGGCAATAACTAGCAGCAAAAATGGAATACACAGCAAACATTTCACCACTGAGCAGACAGTGTAGATATTGTCCCCTGGCTTTTTAGGTATTAAATGTATAAGGAATGTTTGTGGCAGTATTAGAAGTGTGTTGGTTGGAATGTGAATGTTTGTATACATTTATATGAAGATTATGCTATATTATGGGCTGACAATCCAATAATCTGGAATAAATATTAAGGTAAATGCAGTATGGATCTAAAGCAGTATGGATCTTAAAGTGTTAATTTATCAAAGACCAAAGTTTTACTGTGAAGAATGGCTAAAAATCAAAGTAAGTAAATGAAATCTGTATTAAGGAAAAATATTGACTAAAGATGCAAAAATGGATGAAGCTAAATGTTACCATCTTTCCATTTTTCCTTTGTTCTTACTCATTTTCTTAACAACACTTATCTTGAAACAGCATAATGAGTATCTATATATAATACGTATAGAATGACAGCAATATTTTGACTGCCCATAGTAATAACTTCAAAAGCAAATATCACTGTTTTATGATCTAATAATGAAACTTTTTAGCCACTATTTAACTCACATTTTTTTCTGGAAAGTTTTAGACTTTTGTTTCAAATTAACTCCATAAAATTTTACTCAAAAATATCATTTTTTCTACAGAACTTTCTACTATGCTAGATAAGTATTCAAATACATTATACACAATGATTACTTTCTTCAAAATATATGATTTAGCTCATCATTGAAAGACAGTAAGAGCAAGATACTAATTCTTGTGTCTAGGCTAACATGACTCTTAGTCACGTGCAAAATATTTTGACTCAGAATCATTCCAAGTATGAAAGAAGCTTCCTCAAACATATTGATTTCAGTTCAAATTTGAAGTGTCACATCCTTAGAATTTTTCAGTACAAGAGGCATTGGATTTCACTAGCAGTAGGTTACAAATTAAGTATCTATTTACAGAATAACTGTATTAATAATAAATTATCAACCATCCCTTTTAGGAATTATAAAGTATACATTTTTCCCCAAGAATAATTTTAAAATGGTAACATTAAAAGTAACTGATCTAATTTAATCAATTTATCCTGTATATTAAAAGCAGACTATCACACCTGCTATCTTCTTGATTCTTCTAACCCCCCTTTATCAAGGTGGTTCTATTTTTCATGACTCCTTTAAGATCTGTGAACTTAATTCATCAGCATATAGTTTGTGTGATTTTTACAACTGCTAAAAACTCAATGAAAATTTCATTATTAGATAGCATCATATGGCTATCACTGTAATAAATCACCAATGTATATAGGCTTTGTATTTGCACATTAGTGAATAACTACATCTATAAATCACTATTGTTGAAATGTTAATTGCTAGATAATGTATTACTAGTATCACAAAATCCTTTAAGTATTCAGTACTGATCTAGGACACTGGTCAGACACTTCCAAAAATGAGGAAATGTAGGTGAAGAAGTAAATGTGCTCATTGAATGACAAACTTTAGAGGCACCATTCAACAAAACCATTAACATTTACTCATAGTTTTTCGATATTTGACAATTTTGAACTTAGACACATTGTAGCATCTTAAACCCTTGAGCATCAAATATTATTCAGCACTAATTTTTATTAACAATTCAAGAAATAGGCTGGATTCTTTAAAAAAGGTTAAGTTGAAGATAGGAATTTTTCCTAATGAAGAGTAATTATCATTTGTTTTAAATAATTATATGAGTATCTCACCCAAATATTTACAGGATTACAGTATAAAATAAACCAACTAAGGAGAAAGCAAAACACTGCTTAGCTTCACATATTATACTAAACCATTATGTGATTTGCATGAAACTTAGCAGAATGTTCTGAAACTTTGCAAACCTATGTATGACATATGAATCCAGCCAGTAAACTTTAAACTGAAAGGATACCATGGTGTTTGCACACAAGACTTCAAGGGTGTGATAACTGAAAATTTATCACATATCACTTCTTTAAGACAGTCTTAAAAAATAAGTGATATGTGATAAATTTTCAGTTTAAGACTGTGTCTTAAAAAAGATCCCTTGCTGCTGAAAATAGGAGTCAATATAGGAAGACAAGTTGTCTTATTACTGTTTTGAATGTGAAGCAGCATAATGTAGAAATAGAAAGTGGTGTTGGCAGCACCTATTTAAAATTACCCTACTTACAGACACTAACAAGTAGCACAAGTCCTTCAGCTTTCTTACCCACTAATACCATGCTCTGAAAAACCCCAGCTCATTTTTAAGCAGTTTCTAATTAGGATACATAGGATTTTGTCCAATGCCAGGTACTAAATTAGCTGGAATGCAAATATAAAAAAGTACCTATATAAGAGTACAGTTATGATTGGAAACCCTTCCCTTCCTCCCAGTTCTAGCATCCGTTCCAAACAATTAGTGGATGAGATCACAAAAGAAGACTCATCTGGACAGCTATCATGTTTCCTTTGGACTATCTCTTTCACAATATACTGTGCATTTCAAACCTGCTAAGATGTTTTTTTAATTGACGGGTAAAAATCAGCTGTAGCTATTATATACCTTACATGTGCATTCACAAGAAACGATTTGAAAAGATGGCTTTGACATAAGCTATCTTTGTAATCATGTCAAATTCACATTTCCTTCTTGAATCTCTTTATACAGGATGATTATAAGAACAAAGCAGACCCAGATGGTACCAAAGAGGAGAGAGGGGAAAGGGATTCGGCATAGCTTCTCCCACAGGGATGTCTTTAAGGTGTAAAGCTATGCATCATTTTAGATAGGGCGGCATTACATTCAATCTACAAAAGCAGGGTGAAAGCAGAATCGTTTCCCTCGCCTCCCCCCTCCCCAACAAAACACGCACACGCCCTTCCATGTATGCGTTTAAAAAAAAAAGAGAAACCCGACAGCTTGCAAAAACTAATCGGGGGGCGGGGACGAACAAAGAAAACGGTACAGTTGCAAAAGAAGGGGAGGAAGAAGAAAAAAGGAAAACGACGAGCCGGAACAAAACGCCCAAGCAAAGCAGCCCCCCCCCCCCCACCTCTCTCTCTTCCACCCCCTTCTTTCGTCTTTCCATCGGAGGGGCTGCTGGAGCGAGGCGGGGGATGAAGCCAGGAGCCTAGATTCAGGGTGGGGGAGACTCCACGCCACGAGAGAGAGAGAGAGCCTCGGGTGGAAGCCTGGCTAACATGTGAAGAAGGGAAGAGAAGCAAAAAAAAAAAAAGAGGAAGCGGATGGTCGAGTAGCTCCATCTGTATCCAATCTGGACCATCCCCCCTCATAGTCATGCAGCAGGAGCAAGAGCAGCAACCGCCTCGATTTGACTCCCGAAGGGACAGCCTTCCGCGGCCAGGAAATAGCAAATACAAGGGGTGGGGGGGAACGAAGCAGGGGCACAAGCGCCAAGGAAAACGATCGTCGTAAAAAGCGGTAGCAATCTTGCCCCTACTAATAAAAAAAGTACGCCAGGAGAAGGAGCCGTTATTCGTACGAATCGGAGCATCAATTTACATGTGGATCCGCCCCAGGATCGAAATCGCTCTCCCGAGGGCAAGCCAAGGAAGGGACTGCGAAGAAAAAAAAAAAAAAAGAGGACGATGCCTCGTATGTGTTGGTCGCTCGCCGCCGGGCAAGGACACCCTTCCCTGCCCCCCCCCCACACCCCTCCCGCCCCGGCAAAGGATCCCGCAGCATCACTTACTCACTCCCCTTTTGAGCAAGCCTGAAAGTGTCGGCTCACTGGTCCACCATCTTCTCCCACAACAAGGGCGCGCGGGACGGAGGGGAAAAGTCAAGGGCGATCGCTGACCCTCCGCCAACCTACGTTGTTCCGCCTGTAGCAACCGCTTCAACGTTATTCCTACCATGAAGCGGCTAACGGCGCGGAACACAGGGAGCCTACTGCGCAGGCGCCGTCCCAGGGAGCGACATACAAGCGGAGGGAGGGGGGGAGAGAGAGAGAGAGAGAGAAGAAAGAATGGATTTGCCTCAGGACGAGGCTAATGCGCAGGCGCGTGCAGAACGCGAAGCGGCCGAATCGTGCCGCGCAAGCGTCGTTTTCCGGACTGAAGAAGCTGGAATTTTGGAATTGTTATTGATGCCTGTGTTTTCTATTGATGGTACGAACTGGTTTAAGGTTTCGAAAGGCTTAAAGATATAATCTTTTTTTTCCTTTGGCCGTTTCCTTGTGGAATATAAAAAGGACAAATATAGTTTCTCCTATGAAAACGCTTTGTTCCTCTCCTCTTTGTCCGGGATAAGAATAAGGAAAAAAAACAAAAACGCGCTGACTTTAAATCAAACGAAAAGTACCACCTTGCCTTCACCCCTCCCAAAGACTAAAATTTTGTATATAATAGCCCTGACACCTTCGCAGAGCCAAGCGAACCCACCGTATGGACATTGTTCTTGCACCAAACCACAATTCCCAGAAAGCAGCGCGGCAAAGACTTCCTCGACATAGAGAAGCGTTACGGCGTGTGGCATTTCGGGCGAGAGAGGAAGCCTTCTGTCTCTTTTACGTTCGGAGGCAGCGCGTGCCTCGCGTCAGACGTCACTTGATTATCTGCGGGCACAAAAGCGGTCTTCGAAGCGGGACTCGGGGAAGCGCCGTTTCTCGGTTGTCGTAGCAACGAAACCGCTTCGCAAGATTCATCTGAACCTCCCCCTCCCCCCCCTCCCAACACACCCTGGGGCTTGTAGTTGCTTCTTAGTCGCCGGGGCTGTTGCGTGCGCTGCGAAAGGACGGCGTTGGAACTACAGAGACCGACAGCCCGCGAAGAAAGCTTAGCGGGAGGGGGTGGTGGTAATATTTTTCACGCGTTCCAATGGAGGGAGTCTCAGAAGCGGTCGGTGTAGCCGGAAGAGTTGCGACCGGCAGCCCGGGGCCCGGTCGGGGCGAGTCTCCGGATTCACTGGATCCCGTGAGGGAAGCCACGGGAGAATCGGACTTGGCGCAGTCCCTGGAGCGGTATCACCGAGGCTTACGCGGTGAGGACGGAGAGAAGACGGGCGGGCAGTTTCGATGTCCGTTTGAATTTGGGCTCCCTCAACCTTCATAGCTTCTTCGGTATTGGCCTTTCCGAAGCCGCTTCTTAGCTGGCTCTTGGGGGAGAGATCGTAGGCTTTATTGGAAAACACGAGTGTTTTTGGAGGCGACGGCTTCAAAAGCAGGAGGTCTTCCCTATTCGTCGTCCCATCCTTTGATTTGCCCGACGGGGTGAAGTGTGAAACCGTGGCAGTTGGATGTGCTCCATGACAGAAGTTCTGAAATGAATTTACATTTTTGGGGATCATTCTTAGTCTAATTTCAAAGCAGCGCTGGTCAACCTGTGAAAGGATGTGTTCAGGAGAAGGGCAAGAGCAACATGGCTTGCTGGTTCTACTGAATGATTTGACATCTTTTTGTATTAGTGGTCTTAGATAGGGTGACTGGCAGGTTTCAAATAATTCGTTGAATTATGCCATGATTGACCCAAAATAGCAGGACTTGCACATAAGGATAAACTGAATTGCTTCCAACCATTATTAGCCCAAAATGAAGCAAGCCATGTTTAATGTGATGTGTGAACTTAAGTCACTAATTTTGGGGGACAGAGTGTTTGGGTTGGTCATTATTTATTACTTGTGGTCAACTTGAAGAGTTCCAGAAAGCAATAGCTAGCTTCAAGGTTTGACATCTGTATAAAAAGGCTAAATTATTTTTTCCACACAGGTAAATTATAGTCTTAGTAGCTTTATTTTTTTTTTTCATCAGACATAAGTTAAATCAGTGGAAATGTTGAGGGTAAGAATTGAAGAGATTAGGACAAGTGCACGAAAGCTTAAACTAGATAAAGGAGGAGGTACAATTAACTAGGGGCTAATGCGTCAGATCAGTGGTTCCCAAACTTTCAGTCCATCACCCACTTGGTGCTACAAACTCATACTTGGTGCCCCCCACCCAGGGGTGGGATTCAAATTTATGTGGGCATGGCCTAATTTGAGGGTGTTGCTTGCTGGTCACGTGACTGGGTGGGCGTGGCTTGCTGGTTATGACTGGGTAGGTGTGGTTTGGTGGGCATGTGACTGGGTGGGCATGGCCAGGTGACTGGCAAACCAAATACAAGTGGTCCTCACTTAATGGCCGGTTGTTTAGCAAGTGTTCTAATTTATGACTGGTCTCCCCAGAGCTACTTAACCTGTTTTTGGAGTTTTGACAGCCATGCACACACACACACACACACACACACACACACACACACGTTCCCTTCCAACTCTGCTAGAGCAGGTCATTGGACTAGAATCGGCAAAGCATCTCTGATTAGATTCTAGTAGTGAATAAAATCTAATCCGAGATGCTTTGCTGATTCTTGCTGATTTGTTTTATTTGTATTTCTTTATGTTGCTGAATTGCCGGCACTGCTGCGTTCTAGGTGCTGGCCCCGCAGATCCACCCCATTGAGCCCGCTGCACCGGAGGGACCTGCCCAAGCAAGTCCGAGCGGAGCAGTGCATCAAGTCAATGGGGTGAGCCTGAGAGAGGGAAAGAGAGAGAGAGAAAAGAAAGAGAGAGAGAAAGAGAGAAGGAAGAAAAGAAAGAAGAAGAGACAAAGAAAGAGGGAGGGATGGAAGGAAGGGACAGAAAGAAAAAGAAATGAGGGAGGGAGGAGAAAGATAATGAGATATCTATTCTAGTCCAATCACCTGCTCCGGTAGGGTTAGAAGGGAGTGTGTGTGTGTGTGTGTGTTCTTGTAATTTACCAGTACATTTTGGTTTTGCCTTCTTCAGAATTGGCACTATAATTCATTGGGGAAAAGTAATTTTTTAGGGTGGAGGTCTGGTCCAATGGATCCTGTTTAAAGCCTCAACAAAATGTGAGAACTTCCTGATAGTCTTGACCATGTTTCGTCCACAAAACCTTTAATAGAAGCCAAAGATGTTTCAATGTGCTGGAAAAGATGTTTCAGTATGGAAAAGGGCCTCAGTCTAAACTAGGCCTCATTTCAATCTGATGCATCAGGTCTCTCTCTCTCTCTCTCCCTCCCTTCCTCCCTCCTTCCCAGACTGGCTTTGCTCTACTTTCTTGATGTGCCTGTGGAGCTGGCACCTTGAACATGGATGGATGGATGGATGGATAGATAGAGACAAAGAGACAGACAGGTAGGTAGATGTTAGGTAACCTTAATGCCAGATCTTCCTCATCACTCGAGCCTATGTCTTCTGACAGAGCAGGTTCAAACCTCCGAGTCACAACAGGTAGATATATTGATAGGTAGGTAGGTAGGTATATTGATAGGTAGGTAGGTAGGCAAGCAAGCAGGAAGACAGACAGACCTTTTGGATGGATGTATGTATGTATGGATGGATGGATGGATGGATAGATAGATAGATAGATAGATAGATAGATAGATAGATAGATGATAGATAGATAGATGATAGATAGATAGATAGATATATTGGTAGGTAGGTAGGTAGGTAGGAAGATTGATGGATGGATGGATGGATAGGTAGACAGACAGACAGACCTTTTGGATGGATGGATGGATGGATGGATGGATAGAATGATAGATAGGAAGGCTTTGACCTTCCTACCCAATATCCAGGATCCCGCTGAACCAAGCCCGCCCCTCATTGTAGTTGCCGTGCCTGACAGCAAGTTCACAGGCTGCCCCTCCCGCCAGGGATCAACCTCCCAAGCGTCCCCCCCGGGGCATTCACGTCGTAGAGGGCGGTGCTGTTTCCTGCTTCCTGGAGCCAGTACAGGGCAGGGTTGAGGAAGCCCAGGGCAGGCAGCGGTCCAGCGTTGGAAAAGTAGAGCAAAGCCGTGCCACCATTGCTACGTTCAGGGCGCCGCACCCGCAGGCACGTCAGGAAACATCGACTCCGGCGCCGGCGCCTCAATGGGTGAATCTGCAGGGCCGGCCGGTGCCTCGAATGCCCCCTGCCACCTCTTAGCGCCCCTCTGCTGGCCCCCTTGGGGATGCTAAGAAGTGGCAGGGGGGCAGCGTGTCAAACGCGGCTGCGGCAGCACATAATATGCCACTGCTTCCGCATTGGAGGCGCTGGCTCCAGAGCGTTACTACAGTCAATGGGTGAACCTGCAGGGCTGGCGCCTCAAACACCCCCCTGCCACCTCTTAGCGCCCCACAGGGGGCCAGCAGAGGGGCACCAAGAGGCGGCAGGGGGACAGTGCATCAAACGCGGCCGCGGTGGCACGTAACGTGCCACCGCTTCCTCATTGGAGGTGCCGGCTCCGGAGCGGTGCTAGTCAATGGGTGAACCTGCAGGGCTGGCACCTCAAACGCCCCCCTGCTGCCTCTTAGCGCCCCCCCGCCGGCTCCCTTGCCTCTTAGCGCCCCCTAAGGCATCCCACTGCCCCCCAGGGGGCAGTACCGCCCACTTTGGAACCACTACATTAGATTCAACTCTTGTTAACTATACAGATAAACGCTTACATCTTGATATTGTATGTCTTTAGCAAACTGTAGTCCTATCAAAGATATTTAAATCTCTTGATCCATCCATTTTATCCCTTGTTTGCGCTCAACTATGACAAGCATAATTATTTTTTCTACTCTATATTCACATCACCTGCACAAAGTATGTAAATTTTAGCTTAATGATAATCACTTCAGCTTAGCAATCAGCTGTTTTATATGATGTAGAATTTCTGTTCTTTTGGCATTTCTCCAAACTCAATATTTTGTAAGATCTTAAGCAAAATGTTACTTGACTGGAATCTAATGGATCAGATTTGTGGTTGAGGCACTATTAGGTCTAGCATAGTTATTGGAAATTCAAATGGCATCTGACATATACTGCTTCTTGCTTACACACATATACTTACTCTGTGTTGTATAACATAGAGAACTTATGCATAATTATTTATGTCTTGGTTAAATGTTAAATAAACCTGCTTTAACAAATAGCACCTCCCTGATATTAATGAAAGAGTCCCTTTTTTCATAAGATTTTTCTTAAGAGCTGAATCCCTTTTTCCAAACAGGAAAGCTTTATGTGTTCAGCTTACACAAATAATATCTCATTAAGGATCTTATATGAATACCCATCTCACAAAATGGTCTTTGGGTGGTATACAACAATAAATAAAAACAATAAATATATAAAAAGTCATTACAAAATATATAATTAAAACAGAAAACAGTACAACTGGGGAACAATGTGAAACTGTGCAGAGACTGTCACATTTGCCATCTACTCATTGAGAAGAAATTGTGAGTGTAGGAAGACCGTGAAGATTGAGCAGTGCCACGCCATCCATCCAAAAGGGATACTGGGTGAAAATTGTCCAGTATATTAGGGTCCAGCAATGGAAATGAGGAAGTCCTCTTTAAAAGGTAAAGGAAGAACCCACCATTCAAATACAAATTAATTATTGCTAGAGATACCCCCCCCCCCCAATCCTTTCATAGGCCAGGAAAGGTATGCATCTAAAGAGCAGGTGACTGAGCTCACCGTCCTAAAGACCTGTCCACTTCCTCGAGGTTCAAACCATTCCCAAATACCTGGGCAAGACTCCACCCTGGTTCTCTCCTTGAGACTTGCAACCAAGGCAGTATCTTAACTACAAGTGAATCCAAGTGATTTTGTCTGACAGATACTGAGCAAATTCCTCCACACATCTTTGCAAAAGGTTCTCAGACTCTTTATCTAAGAGGACTCGCATCACCTGAAACAGAGTTGTGGGATGCTAATGAATGAAATACAATAAGGGTGGATAAGTACTGCTTCTTTACTGTTTTGCTGCCCTTACCACTACAAGTAGATCTTGTAGTGGTACAAGGATGGAGAATAGTAGGATCCCAGAGAGGGGAGAGTTCACATCGGTACTATTTGATGCATCACCTCGGCCTCCCATTGTCCCAAGTGACAACCAAAGCTTTGAAAAAACTATGCATCAGAATAACAGAAAGAACCTCCAGCTCCTTCTGAAATGTATCAGGGTTCATCGTTTGCCAGGGGCAGACCCATCTAATGGTTTCAGTCTCCCTGAAGTGGAAAATGGCACTATAGAATCCCATAGGAACCAGGGCATGACACCAAGTGCTCCCTCAATTTTAGATCACGCTAGAATCACCAGATTCCCAGTGTAATCATTGTCCCATGTCGGACTCGAACTGGGATAGAGCCAGGGTAACTCAAGCCACCTCAGAACCCATTCCTAGAAAGGGCAGATTACAGTCCCCCAGAACCATAAGTCTGGAGAACTTTCCTACCAGCACAGAAATGGAGTCAAAAAGCTCAGATAGGGAGGTTGCTATGCAAGAAGGAGGTAGATATAACAGCAACAGTCCTAACTGATCCCTAGAGCTCAACTTAATGAACAGGGGTTCATATCTGGTGACCTGTAGTACAATACCACTGAAAGAGCCATTATAGATTCCCAGATTACAATTGCCACAATATCACCTTTGTCCAAAATCTGGGCTGGTTCCACACCTGAAGCCTCATTAGTCATACCTCTGAAAATGTACCCCCATTTCCAGACCTAGCCAGGGTTTTGGTAATACATGCCAAGTCGGTCCATTCACCAACAATTAAATCACTGATAAGGGAGGCCTTGTTGCAGATTGACCTGGCATCAATAGGTGCAACTTTATATATTCTCTTCCATTGGATATCAGTATGTGTCTTTTTTTTCCTTTTTAAGACAATAATGTAACATATAAGCTAGGTGAAAGTGGTCTTTACATTCCTCTATTCTTATACAAATGTATATATTTCATTGCTCCAAGAATCAAATGGCTATTCCTGTTGAGTCAGTGCCTTCAAGGACCTCATCTTTTCTAAATATATATATAGAAGTTAGGCAGGTTGTCCAGTGAAGTCAAATGGATATTAATTCTTAACATTAATTTTATAATCTAGAGTCTTCAACTTACGACCAGCTGGTTAGTGACCAAAGTTACTATGGATCCCCAAAAGATACGTACACCCAAGTTCCAATGTTGCAATATCTGCTCCCCCTCCATGGTCATGTGACTGCATTTTGGGCACTCGGCAACTGGTCCACATTTGATCGTGACTGTATTTTATGTTGTTTTTTTCTAGAAATCAGCCTTTATTTCTGGTTTCCAGACAAAGCACACCTTGTGAAAAAGTATTGCCCTAACAACCATTATGTTTGGTTAATAACCACCTCAAAGAAAAGGTCATAAAATGCAGTATGGTCATGTGATGATTACAATTGTTACAACTTAATGACCATGTTTACCAGTGTCAATTACAATCGTAAGTCAATTGCTACCTTAATTAAAATATTAGAGCTGAAAATAACCCTGAAATTGGAAATAAATCCTCCCCACAAAGCCATATATATGCACATCATAGAAAGTGATGCAAAACAAGGATTTAGTAGTTTGAATATTAAACAACATAGAATCAAATATTTATAAATCCTATCCTTAAACACTTATTTACAACATGAAGGCATAAAAATGTGGCAAAATAGTTTTTAAATAGTTCATTAATTATTGGCTCATTCATCATCATGACCTGTGCTAATCACACTGGGCTACCAGTGTGCTCCACAATTTTTAGTCCACAGCTACAATCTCTGCATTCCTCCATTTAAGGTTAATATTTTTCAGATCTTCCTGAAATGTTTGGTGCCAGGTTTTCTTTGGCCTTCCTCTTTTTCTGCAACCATCTGGTGACATCCAGTTGATTTTGCTGGATGTTGCTCGCCATGTGGAACATGTTTCCAGCAAAGTGCGTTCTTCGTTCTGTCACAATATCAGAGAGTCTTCAGGAATTATTTCTTTGTAGAATTTACTTGTTTGTAACATGGTCACAATATGAGATCAAAGAATCCTGAGACAGTGTTGTTGGAAGACTTAATGAATAATTCTTGTAGTTTTTTAGGTGTCACTAGCAGAGGTGGCTCTTATCTGCTCGTGTGTGTGTGTGTGTGTATTATGTATATATGTATATGTACACACACACATACATACACACACAAACACACATTAGTGCCCTTGTTCTTTCTTTCCTCCTATTAATTATCAGGATTTCAGGTACTCTTGTCAATATTATATGCCAAACAGATCCGTGCAGTACTTCAGTACTGCAGTACTTCTTCTATTAGAGCATCCAGGGGAGTACTTACTATAAAAAGTATATATTGATTTGTAGCTCTCTTTTCCGTGTAACATATGAAGAATACTTGAATTAAATACATGTTGGTCAGTTGGGGGACTGAACTAGTATTTTGTTCACTTCAATGATTTGTACTTTGCTTTAATCCATACGTATTTGAAATAATGATATTCCAATTTCCACTCATATAGCTTTCCCAAATCTACCTCAATAAGATTAGCCTGCCCTCTTTCCCTCTCTCCCTCCCTCCCTCCTGCTAGGTTTATATCTGCTACATTGGGAAAATTAAGAGTTTACAAATAAGGAACCACAAACTGTCGTTAACGGAATTGCTTGCTTTTATTTGTTTATTTTCTGTGGGTTTTTTCCCATTTTTTTTCTATGTTGTGTATATGTTATTTTAGTTGTATATTCAATAGTTTGTTCTTTTTTAAAAAAGAGTTTAATGTGCCTTATACTATTTAGACACTAACAATCTGGCAATGATAATGGCTGGGTTCAAATATGATGCTTAAGCTATAATGTATTATCTTTGGTGATGGCTTCATTTTGCAAATACAATGCTTGTGGTTTGTAATTTCTAATTTATGTTGTAATATGTTCAGTTAAAATATATTTAGTAAGCATACTAAGTTATTTCTATAGATATAAAAATCTTGAAATAAATCTTCTATGTATTTCTAACCAAGTTGCAAAGACACTTTTTAATCACAGTGAACTTTCAAAATTATAATTTTTAGATCGTGCTAATAAAAGCCTTGATCAATTGAAATATGTATTCCATGAAAAAGATCCGGCCATAGGCGAAAGTACAGCTACATTGGACCAGTTATTTCCTAATTTGGGCCATGAAGTAAGCAAAGATAAAGCTTGGCAGGAGCTACAATACAGCCATGCAGGTTTGAAATTTTCCATTTGATTTTTTTTTCCAAACTAGAATTATTATCTTAGGTAAAATATATTTTACTGTTGTGTTATAGTTAATCAGCTTAAAGCATTATTACGTCAACAAGAAGAAAAGGGGAATGAAATATCACCTTCAAAGAAGCAAGGAATGTTACCCACAGTAAGTATTATCCTCTTTTTATCTCTTGTTACATGACCAAATAATTATATATCTGTTTACAGAACAACATACATAGTATTTATGTTGTCTCATTTGATGAGTTATGTAGTTACTTAACAAAGCATTAGTAGGCTAGCCTATATATAAGCTTTTGTATTTATTTTAAGTTACCTATTGTTAGTTCAGCATTATACATATAATGAATTGTGTATGATATGACAAGACAAAGCATAAGGATGAAATTGAAGAGAAAGATCTGAATTTGTTTGGTTGTCGAGCATATGTAAGCACGTTATGGTCCTTTTAGTTGATTTTAATAGTAGAGATGTGGTTCTGAATTTCCTGCAAGTGTCTTTATATGGACCTTATATTGATTTTGAGTCATGTTAGCGCAGTAGTTAGAATGCAGTAATGCAGGCTAACTCTGCCCACAGCCTGGAGTTCAATGCTGAGGGGGCTCAAGAGCCTTCCATCCTTCCATTCTTCTGAGGTTGGTAAAATGGGGATCCAAATAGTTGGGGGCAATATGCTGACATTTGTAAACCTCCCAGATAGTACTGTAAAGCACTATGGAGTGGTACATAAATCTAAGTGCTATTCGTATTGCTATTTTGCATATGTGTGTAAAAGTTTCAAAACTTCTACTTGAAGGAAAAGTTAATTACTGAATCCATTGATCACTTTTGACAATTCAAATATTAAATCATTTTTCTTCTGAGAGATGGATTAGTGTGGTTTTCTTCTGGAAACCTGCAAATGCAGTTTGATCAAAACCATACTTGGACATAAAAGCATATTAAACATGTATGTGTTTTATTTGATTGTAATAAGCATTCCCTGTTATTGTTCATTGTCTTTTCCTGCTAAATGTATGGAGATGCAATGGTAAATACAGTAATATTTCTTCAACTTTCTTTAAGCTGATGAAGGGTTTTGCCATGTTAAGATGTTGTTTATTTATTGAACACTACCAATTTATATGCTTTAATGGAAGTTAATTAAAAATATTTCCCAGTTAGAAGTTATTCAAAAGAAGAAAAAACATTAAAAAGTCTCTTGAAAAAGTGGAATTTTAATATAAAATTTTAAGGAGTCTCAGAGTTCAAAAGGATTGTTCATCATAAATCAATTTTATTTATTCATTAAATTTCTATGCCACCCATCTCACTAATACAGCGGGTTACAATAAAATAAAAGGTTAAAATAAAACCATACAATAAAATAAAAAGTTACAAGTGCTAAAAACAATCAAAATTAGAATAAAAAGTTTAAAAGTTAAAAGCCAAGATGATGGGTAGCCTGACTCATTAGTCATCCCACTGTAACAGGCTCCTGTTGTGGCTTCAGGGCAAAGTGGCAAAGTCAAATTTTAGATTGTTCCAGAAGGCCAAGAGTGTGGAGGCAGCTCTCACCTCTGATGGGAGACAATTCCAAAGCATGGGGACCACAGCAGAAAAAGGCTCTTCTCCTGGATCCAACCAGGGTTTATCCCACAACATTGAGTGGTTCAAAATATCTTGACATAGCAAGTACCATATATTTTGTAAACAGTGTTATTTGCGTATTCATTCATTCATTCATTCACTTAATAAAATTTATAATTTGCCTGGTTCCAAGATTCTCTTCAATTTAAAAGTATATAAAAGCCTTGCAACATAAATCATAAAGTTAAACTTGAAACATGTCATTAAAACACTTCAGAGCAAACAAACAAACATTCCTAACACTCTGGTAAAGAGCCAGGTCTTCCAAAATGATAGGAATGTGGGAATTCTATGAATTTCAAGACATAGCATATCCCATAGCACTGGGGCCATCACAGAAAAAGCTTGCTTCTATCTCCCTTCCCCCTTTGTAGTCCTTCAGTCCAGAGGGGAAACCCATATCCTGAACCTCATTTAATATAGAAAATAGTATCTTGATACAGAATAAAATATATAAAGATGAAACTGTGATGAAAACATGTCAGGATACTGATAAAGGAGAATATTTGTAGCTCACAGTTGAAATGAGGGGTCTTTGGTGCTGTCTGAGTTTGGTTGTTTTCTTGCAGACATTTCATTACCCAAACTAGGTAGCATCATCTGCTTCAACTGGTGCAGAATGCAGTGGTGTGGGCAGTATTTGGGGCTCCCAGAGTGGTCTATGTTACACCTTTGTCTGCGAGCTACACTGGTTGCATGCTGGGTACAATTCAAGGTGTTGGTTATTACCTATAAATTCCTATATGGTATGGTCCAGGTTATTTGAGGAACCGTCTCACCCCATGGGATAGGCTTGTCCCACTCCTGCAGGCAGAGGAGGTATGCCATAGATTCCGTAAATCAAGGAATTGCAGCTGGCAGGGTCAAGGAGAAAGAACTCTGTGTAGTCTCTGTCCTTTGGAACATCTTGCCCCTGGGTTGAGATTGACTCCCACTATCCTGACCCTGAAAACCTGACTGCCAATTGGCCAGAAATTCCAAAGGGGGGAGTACCATTTTGGAGGTGGATGATGGACTAATAGTAGATCCCATCTGCCCCCCTACTCATCTTGCTTCTTGCCCTCTCATCTTTTAATTGTAATTTTGTTTTATTTTAATTATTTTGTATTCTTATTGTTATGGTTTTTACCACTCTTAATATGCTTGTAATATTGTCATTAATGTAAGCTGCCCAGGGTCACCTTGTGGTGAGATGGGTGGCAAATAAATTAAATAAATAAATAAACTGTCAGGATAGATTAATGTCACATTTTTTCCTTTCATTGATCAGTAGAGATATTTGTTCTGAGGGAAAATAGCTACTATCCCTTCCAGTTATATTTTTCCGCTTTTTGCACACATTAGAATTTGTGTCATTTCATTGTTTCTTTAAATAGGTTTATTCTGGATCCATATTATTTTTTTATATACCAGATGTTCTTTTTTTATAGTTGTAGTATATTTGTATAGCTTATATATCCAAAATGCAAAAGATGTGCTTTTTAAAAAGAAATTGGTAAGCCTTTTCATTAAAATGAATAAAGATCATAAACATGGCCTTTCAATCATGATATCTTATTGGACCAATGGAGACCCCCATTGTGTAGTAGCTCTTTTTCTTCCTAAGTGGGTGGTTTTAGTCTGAGATAGTGGAAGGTGAGGAATCATCCAGTAGTCCCTGATATGTCGGTTGTTGTGTCTTGGGAGTCGACTTTTGATAGAGATTAAGTTAGCCTTCTCTTTCTTGGTCTTTAGAAAACATCAAGAATAGATTTATATAAGATATATTTTCTTAGTTTTAGGACTGACTGACTGAATAATAAAAAATAAAAAAATAAAAAATAAGCAAGCAAGCATCTTAGGGAGGCCATCTGAAAACATGAAGACCACCATAAATGTGCTCTGGTTCTTTTCTGATGGCAGTCTAGTATTCCAGTTAAGAAAAATTATAAGGTGATTAGAAGTTGGGATGGATGTGTTCACAGAGATTGAGATCAACATGGTCTTTTTGATCCCAAGATATTTAGCAGAAATCCCAGTTTGTTATCAATTCAAATAGTTCAGTCTATCAACAACGAGTGGCCCAAGATCCTTTGAAAAATACTTATTCCAGCTTACATACATATTAATGCTTGTGCATTGTCTGTACATGCATATGTACCTCTGTTTGGATTAAACATGATATATGTCAGGTAATAAACTAAATAAACTAAAATAAATCAACTTTTATCTATCATGCTTAATTGTAAAAGAAGTACAGTGCATATGCAGATACAGGAAGTACACGAACATTCATGTTGGAATAGTTGAATGCTTAATTAAAATTTAAAAAATACAAAGCAGCAGTGTTTACATTCTATCTGCTTTAGAGGCTTTCTTTGCATACAAAATACGAATATTCTGCTAACAGACATTTGTAGCAGAAATTCAGGATTTGCTTCCTCAAGCTTTGCTTCATCCTTTTCTTATATCTGTCCACTCAGGAAGACTTCAGTCTACTTCGAAATGGCCTCCTATTCTTCTGAGCCCTCAGCATCCCATTACTAAAGGGAGCCCAATTGATATATTTCTTAATGTAAATTATTCTACTTTAAAATGCTATTCTAGTATGAAACACTTTGGAAAGAATTTTATCTGAGACATATAATTCTGCTTTTTTTTCTCTCTCTCTCTAGAGAACAGCCAAAGCTACTGATCAGAGTTTGCCTGCCCTTTCTGAACTTGTTCCCATCATTAATGATCAGTCTCAATATATTAATCATTTAGAGGCTGAAGTCAAGTTTTGCAAGGTATCGTACATAAATACTTAAGATCTTCTTTCAAGGCAGCTTTAATCATCTTTATTCATTGGCATTTGAAGTTTTAACCCTACAATTCTGTATATTATATTCAGAACAGATATAATTTGTTTAGTAACAGAAAAAAAGCATTTTATTTTTATTGGTGAAAAGTATATTTCAGCCAATAGCGTTATATGTAGGAAGTTACTGTTTCTAATACATGAGGATTTGAATAATAAGTAACAGTTTACAGAGTCCTCAACTTATTACCACAATTGAGCCCAAAATTTCTGTTGCTAAGCAAGACAGCTGTTAAATGAATTTTGTTCTATTTTATGGCCTTTCTTGCCACAGTTATTAAGTGAATAATGGCAGTTGTTAAGTTAGTAACATGCTTGTTAAGTGAAACTGGCCTCTCCATTGACTGCTTGTCTGAAGGTTGCAAAGGGGGATCACATAACCCAGGACACTGCAACCGTCATGAATATGAACCAGTTGCCAAGCATCTGAATTTTAATCACATGAGCATGGGGATGCTACAATGGTCATAAATACGAAAAATGGTCATAAGTCACTTTTTTCAGTGCCATTGTAACTTTAAATGGTCACTAAACGAATGTTTGTAAGTTGAGGATTATCTGTAGTTGTCATTTGATTAATTTAGAAATATATTTCTGCAGAGTTTTCTAATTATACTTCCCTAACCTAGCTCTGTATCTGTGTTTAGTAGCGTGCCCTTTCCTATACATACATTCTTGGCTCACATCTGCATAGTTTTCATATACATTTCTCACTGAATATAGATAGTCATTGATTCACTGGTATTTGGAAGTCATTGATTCAATGGTATTTGGAACCGGGAACTCTGTTGCTAAGCAACACGGTTGTAAAGTGTGATGTCATGGGTCATACTAATTTATAACAATGTTTCCCTCAGTTCCGGTTGCAATCATTAGGCACATCCCTCATTCTTGTTTGACACATCACATGATCGCCTTTTGTGACCTGCTGGTTTCCCAATTGACTTTGGTTGTCAGAAGCCAGTAGTGAAGATCACAAATGATGATTATGTGACTGCAGGACCTGTAACTGTCATAATTGCAATGTGGTTGCCAATTATTCAAATTGTAATCACGAGGCTTTAGAGACACTGTGATAACTGTATCTTTGAGGACTGATTGCATATCTCCTCATTCAGCATCATTGCAACTTCAGCTGGTCACTGAACACATGATCATTATTAATTGAGGCCTGCATAGTTTATCGAAAGGGGTTGTTTTTCATTTTGTGTGTAATAAAACTTCCCCCTCTTTGTTTATTATATTTTAGAACTCTAAATACAGAAAAATCTATGCTGTTGGCTAAGCAAATGATAAAAACACAGGTCTTTGATTTTATGCAGGATTATAGAACAAGGACAATTTATTTTTTTAAACTGATATTTCATTAATATTACTAGTATTTTGGTGAAAAATGATCTTTTTGTTAAAAGTGGAGTATTCTTGTAGCATATTCTTTCAAATATGCTAGAACTTGCAAGAAATCATTTTCTGTTGTTTGATATGTCATTAAATTTAGCTGTGCTTCCTTTGATATAAGATTTTATGCAAAATTGAATGTTAATTACACTGCTGTCATTATGCTTATGAAGAGGATTGGTTCCAGCTTTAAATAATTACATTAACAATAATTACTTAACTTTCTAGGAAGAAATCTCTGAATTGAAAGCACATATACATGTTGTTGTAGTTGAAAATGAGAAGCTACAAAATGATCTGAAAATGGAAACAGAGCGGACTTTGAGAGAGCAAACTGTCTTCAATGCTTCAGTAAGTTCTGTGGAATTTAAAATGTCAAATATAAATAAAAATGTAGTCTTAAAATTTTATTTAATAAGAAATCTGTAGGAAATTTAACAATGCATCAAAATATGTCACATATATGCAGCTTATGTTACCAGGCATATAAACAGAGAAATAGATCTGTATTGCACACAGCATAGTGCACAATATTTACAATTTAATATTTTGTCTTTTTATAAAATCATAATAACTCGAAGGAACTTTAGTAATCATCTAATCCAAACCCCTGCTTTGGGCAGGATCTGTTAAAATATTTTGCATTAAGGGTTTAGTTTCTGTTTGAAGGAGGAGCCAGGATCTAACATAAAGGTGGCTAAAGTGACAGACAGAAGGACTGTAACCACATCCCTAGACCTAACAGAATCAAGCTCAGTCTAGATAATATTACAACTGGGTTGGGCTTGCCCAATCAGAGTCCAACTCCAAGTAAATCTGAGTGACGTCTGCATGAATATTTCTTATCATGGTTCTGCAGATGATCATGAGGCCTGAATATGAAGTGGATTACTCTAAATAGGGTTGCTGGCTGATATCTCTTTATTAAAACTAAAACTCTCCTGTAAGTCATAAAGCTCTTAGTTTGAAAGATGTGAAAATGGTGCAGAGATGGTGTTATAATGGAAGGAACAACTTGTAGAAATAGTTCAGTAATTTGCTATATTAATAATATAACATATAAACATATATGACTATCATTTGTTATTGAGCTTATTATGAATAAATATAACAAGATCAGTAACAATCATATAAACTAAGGAGAAATTTCCTGACAGTTAGAACAATAATTAATCAGTGGAACAACTTGTCTCCAGAAGTTTTAAATGCTCCAACAATGGAAGTTTTTAAGAAGAAGATTTGATAACCGTTTGTCTGAAATGGTATAGGGTTTCTTGCCTAAGCAGGGGGTTGCACTAGAAGACCTCCAAGGTTCCTTCCAACTGTGTTATTCTATTCTAAACTTATAGGATATCTTCAATGTGTGCTATGTATATGCATTTAAGGTGCACGTTCACTGTTTATATGTGTTTCAGACTCTTTTCTCAAAATCTGGTGGTATAAATGGTGATCATTCTCATATTTGTGGAGCTGCTAAAGCATCTTGTCATGTCATTGAGCAAGCCAAGGCACCTCCACTGGAGTTGGAAAAGTGGCAACAGGAATTGGTCAGTATTTTTAAAATGTTGATTATTTTAGCATTAACAATGTATCATTCAGGTGAAATGCTCTACTTCTATATTGAAAGTGTAAACATTTAATCAACTAATTAATTTAGCTGGATTTTATGAAACGTACTGTATGACCAGAAAGTACAGTTCAAAATAGAACTGCTGATGAGAATCTAATGAAAATTTTTATTTCACCTGAAATAATGTAGCAGGTTACCATTTTTTTTCCTGATCTTTGTTTTCGGTTCTAAAATCTTATACAGCCTGGAATCTAACTGTCTCTGAGCCCAATTTCTTTTCAGTCATTTACACTGACTGAGTCAGTCATTAATTTTCCCTCCAGGATATTGCTATTTTCTAAGGTACGTAAATGATGACTAAACAAAAATGTTCTTCCAAGAATAGATGGAAACTCTCTTTATTTTAACATGTTTTTAAAAAGCTATTCATCAGAGCTTAAGTTAAATATTTTATTTTGCCATATTTAAATTTTTAATTTTGTAGTTTTGCTGCTTATTATTGTATGTTGCATTTTTGTTCTGCATTTATTTTATATTTCTAATTTTAATAATTAGGTTATAAGTCAAGATCAGGGCTGTTGAACTTGCAGCCTGCAGGCTGGATGCGTCACGCACTGGCCACACTCACACCTGGTTTAGCAAACGGGGGGAAAGTTGTGATACGTCCCGTGATGAGGCCGTGATGATGGGAGTTTGACACCCCTGGTCTAGACAATAAGTAAAAATATTTAATCCAAGTTACTTTATTTGTCTATCAAATTTATATGGCTGCCTATCTCACAAAAGTGACTCTGGGACATGTACAATAAAACCAACAGTTAAAATCATTCTACAAAAATCATTTAAAACAATTGAATTTAAATAAAAAGATCATAAGAGAGGATGCATCAGAATATTATACGTGATGCAATCAGTGCTGTGTATTCCTGCACATATTCCTGCTGCAGGACCATAATTTTCAACATTGCAGAAAAAACAAAGTGAGTAATTTAAAATAACCATTTATCAAATAACATTACACTGAAGTACATCTTTAATTGCATATTTTGTCTTTTAATGTTAAAATTTAATTGTCTGTCTAAAAAAGGTTAAGAAAAAGCTGTGATTTAAATATTAGAAATATACAAAAAAAATTATCATGTAAATCCCTAAAACAATTTGAATTGACATTTAAAGCTTAACTTAGTGGATCTGTATTTTACAGTTCGATGTGCTGTATAAGAGTCTTATTTCAGTCCCCAGCATTTCTAATCAATAATGCTTAGATAACAAATTTAATAGAAAATACCTAGTTAATAGTGCTTAGTTAAAATCAATTAGTCAATGATGAGAATGAGTGAAACTTCTGGAAAACGCTGCCCAATCTGCTTTGCACAGGACCTAATGATGATGATGAAAATGAGCTAGTATATAATTATATCATTTTATTCTTAGGCAGGCATAGTGGTTGCTGTGTAATTTAAATTAATTTTCATTTTCAGCTAGTACAGATTTGGTATCCAGAGTCATGATGGAATCAGATAGCCTTTATAACTTTAATGATAGAAGACAGACAGATTACTAAAAATTTGCTGATGCCCTGGCAGTCCTGACTATGTCTTATCTATAAGCGAAGAAATGATAGGTATTAATTTTATTTTACAGGAGAAACTAAAATATCTTCATGAAGAAAAGACTGAAGTGTTTGAAGCTCAGATACAATCTTTACGGTAAAAAGAAGTATATGTATTTTTAGATTGATGCTTTTTGTCTCTGTAGAATTGTCCCATTTTGCCTCATTATCTCGGTCCATAAGTTAGTAGAAATAAGTTATTGCAAAACATCAATCAGTATCTAGAGGGGAAAAAATCCCTAACATTACAACCATACTGCCATTTTATACAGATAAACCTTTCAGAACAGTATAAAACTTGTTTCAGTTCCTCCATGTCTCTTTGGTGCCTAAAGTAGTATTTTTAAAAATATTAGTTATTTGTAAGGTGAAAGATTTGTGTATTTTTATTTTGCACATGGTTATTTTATGATTGCACAGTAATTTCATTCATTCATTCATTCAGTCAGTCAGTCATCCAATTTCTACAGCTGCCCAACTCATCCAAGTGATTCCAGGTGGCTTATAATTCTAAAATTATAAAACAACTAAAACAATGTAAAAAAACATTAAAACAGCAAAAATATCTACAAAACAAATAAAAATGACCTTAGGTCCATGCTGTGGTATTGGCCTCTTTTAGGAAAAGGGTGTAACTTCCTGCACCCTCTCCTAAGACAGCATCCTTGGAACTAATAATTTTAGTTAACTATCACCATGTCTCTAACCTTCCCTTTTTAGAAAAGGTTATTGAAAAGGACGCTGATGTGCAGTTGATTAATGCCTTGGAGGAAGTGGATTATCTAGACTTGTTTTAATCGGTTCCTGCTAAGATCTGAAATGGGCAAATAAGTAAAAGTACAAACTGTTTAAGACACTACCATTCAATTCATTTCATTAAAAACATGTACCGTATTTGCCGGCGTATAAGACGACTGGGCGTATAAGACGACCCCCCAACATTTCCACTCAAAATATAGAGTTTGTTATATACTTGCCGTATAAGACTACCCCCTCTTCCACACACCTTCCACTTTTGCACTTTTTTTTTTTTTTTGACGCACTTTTCTGCTTTGGACAATTTTGAAATGAGCTAATCCAATTTTGAACCAAGAATATGCAAATAGCTATGGAGTTTAGAAATGAGTTTTAAAAATATTTTTCATTGCTTACCATTAAGCGTAAAATATGTTGTAAATAAAATGAGAATACAGGAAACGTTCTCTTCTCAATACAGCTGATCTCTCTCTCTCTCTCTCTCTCTCTCTCTCACACACACACACACACACACACACACCAAAAACCCGGACACTGAAAAGGCTGCCAAGGAACAGTATATTCAATGCCTTCTCTTTAATCAAGAAACAAGGAATTCCTTAGAATCTTTTTTTTCCCCAAGTGGCCCTCTTTAAAAAAAAAATGGAGGTAACACTTTCATTCAAAAAGTCTTCCAGTATCTGGAGTCGCTCAGACATATTGAAGTGAGGCAGGAGAGTAAGTGAAATTTGAAATGATCCAGCTACCGTTTTCTTCCCCTCCCGCCCGAAGGCCATTATCTCCACGTCAAAACGAACGAGGGGAGGCAAAGAAGCCAAACACGCTAAAAAGGATCTCTTTATTTTCCTACACAAGGTCACACCTACTTTTCCGCATTCAAAGGACAACCTCTCCTCACCACCACCACACACACACACACACACCCCAATACCCGCAAACAATGTTCTGGGCATTAATCACCATTGCTACATTAACCTGGTAAATTTATACCCTGCCTCCCCCAGTGTTGCTTTGACGGCAGGATTTCACACAGCGGGGCGCTCGCTCGCTCTCTTCTCCGCTCTCCCACCGTTCGCACATGTTGGAAGCACCGTAAAACCTGATAACCCACCCGGGGGCTCCCCCATCCTTAACCTACAGCCGCCCGCATGCAAAACCTGCGTGCAAAAAGAAAAAAAGAAAAAGAAAAGTACGCCGCACGTGAGGATCTTCGAATCCTCTCCTCCCCACACCGCTAAGGAAGGAAGAGGGGGAAAGGTTGCGCAGCGCGTGGCGAGTGACACCCGCCACACACACACACACACACACACACACACACACACACACACCGCTCCCCCCCAGCCTCCCTCCCGGCTGCAACTCAAGCTCGAAGTGGGAGTCGGAGTCCTCCCGGCGTATAAGACGACCCCCCCACTTGGAGGCATGTTTTTCAGGGCAAAAAAGTCGTCTTATACGCCGGCAAATACGGTACACAAAATTTCTAACTCCTAAATCAGAATCAAGCTTTCTTATCACACTATAGATACATATTATCCAGCTTTTTGATTTAAAAATATCTGTTTCATACTGGAGTGGTGCTCTTTTTTATTTGTCACTTCATTTTGCCTCTCATTTCTTCTTTCACCATTCTTTTTTCCCTTTCCCCAGCCTTGGGGAAATCTTTACTCAAGAAATATTTTATGCATCTGATGTGGATTGTGATCCATGAAAGGTTTATGTAGTAATAAGTTAGTTGTTCTTTAATGTGGCACAAAGGTGTGGTCTTTTAGAGAGTTTAAAGCAGTAGGAAAAAAAGTTGTTCCATTTGCTTTCCAATCATTATTGTACTATACCTTGTATGCTGTTTATAATGCTTTTATGTTGTTATTGTTGCAGAAAAGCGTTATCAGAGTCACAAAAAAACTGTGAAGAGCTGAGCGGAAGATTAAAACATCAGCATTTGATCAATGCAGCAAATAGTTCTAATAGGCCTGGTGGCCTTTGCTTAAATTGTGCACAGCATGAAGCGGTTCTTTCCCAGACTCATTCAAATGTCCATATGCAAACCATTGAAAGGCTAACAAAGTAAGCAGATGGATAGTTCTGAATTTAAAAAAAACACACAGAGTATAACAATTGTAACAAATAATTTCATGAACATCAGTAATTTTAGTGCAATTGACTATGAAGACCCATTACAATGTAAGGAAGCTTTACAAAAGCATTATTCCTCTTAGAGTATTTTCTTGCTCAGCAGCCACCCACCATAGACTCCTAACCAAGTGTTTTATTTGATTGTGGAATAGTTTTTAATGAGTCCCTTAGCTCCATTTCACATATGGCTTCCATTTTCCTTTAACAGAAGAAGTTTTCATACAGCTCTTCTAGTTTCTAAGAACCTAAAAACACTTAATACCTACCTACATTCTCAACAGAGTGAATTGAGCTATTAAGTAAATATAAATAATTCAGTTTGTCTTTTTTGTAGATTTAATTTATCCAATCCATGCTTTACAAGTGCTCTTTATGTGTATGTGTGATTTAAAAAATGGAAATCATTGGTTGCAAAAAAGGTAATTCAGAAATAAACAATAGGATTTTACAAACTGAATGAGAATCTGTCCTAGTTTCATTTTCTCTATTTTCTAACCATCGTATTTAACAATTGAAGTCAGAGTGATAAGTAATTGACTATAATTAGAGCTGTACAGATAATTTATTTGCAATATATATATATATTACAAATGAAAGCAAATATACGTGTCCTAGGAAGCCACATCCAAACAGGCACAATGTAAATAAGATGCATAGAATAGCCTAAAGCACACATTCTGGTAGAATGTGTTGAATGTATTGTTTATTCCTCCTTATTCTAGGCAATATTTGAGGACTTTGGTGCTGCTATTTAGTCTTATGAAATTCTGCAGATTTACAGGAAGCTTTCTGATCATGCTATAAAATCACTGAAAATAATAGAGCTATATTTTTTTCTGACCAGTTTTTTTCTGATTGGTTTTGATGGACATGGGAGGAGCAACTTTCTAAGGCATACATTTGTTTCTTCTCTATTTTTAAACTATCGTCCCATAGAAAAAGCAGCTGAAAATTAGTTCAGCCATATTACTTTCAGCAGGAATTGACAGGGAAGGGAGCTATAGTTATGCCGAGGCTATCCCCTCCTGATCTGTAATCTAAACTACTACTTGTAGAATCCTTGCTAATTTACAGCTTAATCATCATAAATCAAATCCGATCACTTTCTATATAATAACGTATAAATGTTACTAAATGTTGATCTTGCTCTTTATCTCTCTAAAGTATCTCCTACCTGTCTAATATATTGATCTTTTCTTCTCTCTTTTTGTTTAAGAGAGAGAGATGAGTTAATGGCAGCACTTTCTACAATAAGAATAAACTTAAATGAAATGCAACAGAGGGAATGCAGCGCTTATGAACAAGTAAAACAAGCAGTACACATGACTGAAGAAGCTAATTTGGAAAAAACCAAGGTAAAATTGTGCAAAGACACAATAGTTTAGGTATCTGAAATTGTATCTACAATTTACAATGTGCAAGAACGCTGAAAGTAATGTCTTGTTTATGTGCCTTTGAGAAACATCTTGCTTGACTACTTTAGGCTTTGAATGCTATATTTAATAGACTCTGTCCTAATCCATTAATATCTTTGATGATGTTTGATGAATAGTACTAAGCGGTCCATGTACTAAAGAAAAATTACTTTGCCACCTAGACTCCTTTCTATTATTAGAGTACTTTGAAATAAATATTTCAGATGCTCTATCCATAAATGCAGCTCTCATTCTTCACCCATGATCTTTTACCATGATAAAGAGGTATGTATGTAGTATATATGTATATAGTATGTATACTATATAGGTCTGACGTACACTAGAAACTCTGGTCACGAATGCTTCTGACCGCAATCAAATTGGGTTCCAACCAAAAAATTCACAACATTTTTGAATCTGGTCACGAACACATACTCGGGTGGTGATCAAAAACAGCTGCAGCCGATTTCCCCTTCTGCGCCATTTCTTTTGTAAGTGCCAATTTTCCTGTTGTTTACTGGAAAAGGCAATGAAGAAGAAGAAGAAGAAGAAGAAGAAGAAGAAGAAGAAGAAGAAGGAAGAAGAAGAAGAAGAAGAAGAAGAAGAAGAAGAAGAAGAAGAAGA